GGAAAATTAGACCTTTCTTTGCAGATTTATGTTGTAATGCCACCATTTATACAAATCTATAGCAGGTCTGTTTTTTAATTTTAAATTTTAGCTATAACATGTTACTGAATTTCTATGCAGAGAATACATTTTTTCTGTCTGGCAGTGAGTCACGGTTTTAATACCTTGAACGGCTTGCCACGGGCTCCGTTCTCACATGTGGGTTGCACTTTGAAATAACAGTGGGATGAACTGGCTGATGTGATTTTTAGGTTAGCTCTTTTGCAGGGAGCATAGAAAGAAGAGATAGAGCGGAATTTTGTTAGGGGTCTCAGGCAAGGTGAAAGTCCACTTCAATAGTCACTGTAAACTTTGATGACACAAAGAAAATATTTCTCCCAGATACCAGCCAGGAGGCAGACCCTCAGCAGGAGCCACGGCAGACTGTCAACTTTTCACATTTAGCAGCATTTAAAAAAATGATACTTTGATGTCGTTCTTGGAGCTATCAAACATGTAGGAATCACTGAACATTTCTGCACTTCTCTAAGAGTGTTATGTATAAACTAGCAACTATTTTCAGGTCACATTTTTCAGTGCAGAGTGCTACATTTTATTTACATCTTAGCAGTGACTGATTCCTCTTGCACATTATTGAATGGTTTACTCACTTGGGAAAATATTGGTAGGGAAAATAACTTTGGCCAGTTGAAAATATAAGACTCATTGAATTGTCAAAGTGCAGTATTTATAGATTACCTAATATTTAATAAGTGCTCTGTTAAAACATTGTATTAAAGCACTACAAGGAATTTAAGAATTCTTGACAATCACTTGTTTGTTTTGTTTATCTATTTATGCATTCATTGTGGAACAAACACTTATTGAAAAGTTGTTCTGCACTGGGCATACAAGATATAAAGGTGCATAAAACATTGGCTCGTCTTCAATGAGTTCACAATCTGTTGATACAGACAAGAATGTCAGAAAAAAATTACACCTTTATTTTTCTAGAAGGGAAACTATCTTTCTAGAGGGGAGAAGAGGGTGATAGAGGATCACAGGAAAGGGTTCATTTTATTCTTTATAGGGAAGCCTCCAAGTTCTACTAACATGTATACTGCCTTCAAGGAAGTGCTAATGTAATTGGCAAGACAAGATCACCTGACACAGAATAACAATTGTCAGCATGACACAGGATCTGATTAAATGCTAACTGAGCATTGACACTATGGGACTGCAGAGGAGAGGTGGACCTGAAGGCAGGAGTCACCACAGAAGCCTTCATGCAGGAGCCTGTGTTGAGCATGAACGGTGGTAAGGGCTTTGGTAGACTTTTCATTTGTGCATCTCAAGTAGGATAATCAGAAGAAGAATATTATTTATCACAGGGGATGGAGACCACCATATATTTTCCTGGAGATCTATGGAGTCTATGATATAATTTATTTTTTTAGTAATAAACCAACCCTTTGCTAAGATTAGGTAGATCTACATGCACCGTTAATAGATGACTCCTAGGGTTTAAATTGAACAAATACTTAGAGTGAAAGTAACAGAAATGATCAGAGTAATGAATTACAGTCACACATTTTGAAGAGAGTGGGCACGGGGACACATTGTAAGGAAATGCTGAAAATGAATCCCAGTTTTCAGTAGAAACAAGAAGTAGCTTTCACAGTATTACAAGAATTAATACATTTTTTGTTGATCACATGAAAAGCACAGGCTGGAAATTCAGGGATGCTGAGATTATATATAACCTTCTGAGAAGGGGAATTTAAAGATCTCCAGGGCATTGACAAGGTCAAGGAATGCGGTCAAAGAAAAATGGAACGTATGCTGCAATGCTCACAAACACATGCATCTGCACTGCAGGTAACGAGCAGATGAGATGAATTAAAGTCATCTGTTTCCACTACTCATTTCAACCCACTTACAGAATTCTGGGCCAATTTTTAAAAGGAGGCTTTGCTGAGCTTCCTCTTCTGTAGTTCCTGATAAATGGTGAATCACCGGGTGCTTGAGCTAAAGAGGACAAATCCCTGACAATCAAGAGAGTATGATGTGGAACACATGAGGGCGAAACGGTTAAACAAGAAAATCCCTGTGACTGGAAAGTTCATGGTTTGACTCACTGCTATCCTTCCAGGGCCATTGGCTGGCAAAACTCAGGGAGTCACCTTGGGGTAATGGCTTCCACACAGTCTGTTCAGATGTCCTTTTCTCTCCAAAAGTCAGGGTGGTCTGTAAAAGCCTTTCCATGGCTTTGGGCAGAGAGAAGAAAGTATTTGTATCAGGCAAATGGCAGGAATCCCATGTCGGAGAGTGGGCCCTGGAGACCAGCCCCACTTTCCACAGTCTTGCATTCGCATGAGTCTGTGCATTCACAAGAAGGAATAGAAATAGCCAGAGTTATATAAAGATGCCTGATGAAGACTCTGAACTTTAATGTGTGAATGTTGTGAAATCATAGAAGACACTAAGAATTCTCCAAATCGGTCTATTAAGAAGATTCCCTAAACACAGCTATGGAGTACAGGAGGATTCCTGCTGTGTTCTGAGGAAGGCCTACGAAAAGAAGAGAAGCACAGGACCATGAGAGAGATCTCTGCCTTACAGGTATCTGGCTAAGGGTTTCATCAATACCTTGGTGAGGAAAGATTGGAGGTAATACCACAAACCACCCTATAATTATAGATGTATGTTATTGTTGTTAGTTGTTGTAACTCTGGATCTTTATGGGTAAACATAATGTCAATAAACTGATGCTATGGAACATAGAATATACAGTTAATTAACATGCTTACACACAGAGATCTGGAGAGAGAGAGAGAGAGAGAGTGTGTGTGTGTGTGTGTGTGTGTATTTTTTTCTCTTTTAAAAATCTAATAGAAAATAATCCTGTCTGGACTTGCTACAGAAACATATCTGAACTAGATAGGTCCAATTGATATTGGCAGAGGCAGCAAGTAGGTGTGTGTGTGTGTGTGTGTGTGTGTGTGTGTGTGTGTGTGTGTGTATTTTTTTCTCTTTTAAAAATCTAATAGAAAATAATCCTGTCTGGACTTGCTACAGAAACGTATCTGAACTAGATAGGTCCAATTGATATTGGCAGAGGCAGCAAGTGGCAGTGTTCACTAAATGGAACCCAAACAGGGCAAATTCCTCTTTGGGTGTGCCGGATGCACATCCACACGTTTATGCTTGTAAAATAGAACCATGGAATGCTTGAGAGCTGGAACAGACACCAGGCCCAGTGCCTTTTATTTTATAGACAAGGATGCTGAGGCCAAGGGGAATGTCCCAAAGATCAAAATGTCATCCTGAGCGCTAGGCTCCCAGGCTCCCAGTTGGGCGCTTTCAGAAGTACATCCACCCAGTTGTGGGAAAAAGAAAGGAGAAATCAATGTTGGTTTTCAGTAGAAAGATATTGTATAATGTGAAATTTTTATCTACTTCCAAAGGAATGGCATTTCTCAATTTGATGATCATGTCCTGGATATTAAACAGCCATGACAAAGCCAGCAGAGACCTTACTTAGAAGTTCTCTGCTCCTTTACACTGGCTGTCAGAGAGAACACGCTCATTCCTTTACTTACTTCTCTTCCCTTTGCATGGCTAGGAGACAACTAACTTGAGAAGGTCAACGGAGACTGTCGGGGCACGGGACAGTTTTGGGAACTGTGTGATGGAAGTGGATGTGTCCCACCATCCAGATGGGCACATCTGTGGCCTGGCCACTTGATTATCTCTCAGGAGGAGTTGTGGGTCCTCCTTCCTTCCTGTCTTTCTGGTTGGAGGCAAATCCTGCTAGACTACATGAGTTCTCATCGTAAAACAGCGAGAAGTCTGCTTTATTTATTATTAAGAAAAGAATGCCACTTGCTCTTTTGAGAAAATATGACCATTTCTGAAGACATGTCAGCAACTCTTTTTAGAAGAGTTTTGAGCCTTAGGGATGGAAACACATAGGATGGAATCCCTCACTGGGGAACAATTTTATGAGACATGGTGCACTCTCTTCACTTAAATGCTTAAGGACAAGTCTTGGGAATTCCGAGTTGTCAAGCATCCTCAGGAAGGGGTGTGAAACACAGGGAAAAAAGGTAGGAGAGATATCTGTGAACTCCAGTGTGACCACAGTGCGACTAAGCAGGTTTCTTTGAGTCTGTGGAGAGCTGAGATATTTGGGGACCACGTGTTCTTCCTCTTCCTGCTCCCTATACATCTCAGTACTAGACCTAATAGGAAATATTCAAATTGAGAGATATTCTTATTGCGAGAAGTTGTGTTCTGCTGTGTGGGGAAAGGAGACTAAGTAATAAGGAGGGAAGGAAAAAGCAGGAGATGGATAGTGGTGACTACAGCTTTCAGGAGATGCTTGAACACAGCAAGCTTTCTCTGCCATAATGAATTTGCTCTCATTCCCTCTTTCTAGAATATTCTCCTGGCTCTTCACAGAGACACTCCTCCTGGCTGTGCCAATCCTGCTCTCTGCTCTTCCAGTCCTCTCTTTCAGAGGACCCTGCTCATTTCTTTCATACATGAATCACAATCTATGACTTTTTAAAAATTTCAGTCTTTCAACAAATATTTATTGAGCACCTAATTTTATTTCAGGCACTGACCTAAACCCTGGGGATGGCAATGAACAAATGGACTAGAGGTCCCTGCCCTGTGAGCTTCCATCCCAGTGGGGGCTGTAACAGGTCACACTGAGGTAAGGCTGACCCGGGGCCAGGCTCTGTACTCAGCCCTGAATACAGAGCAATTCCTTTACCCCCACACCAAGCCTGCACACCACGTGAGGAAGGGATTGTTAATAGTCCTTGTATCAGTCCGTTTCTGTTGCTTATAACAGCATACCTGAAACTGGATAATTTATAAGGAAATGAAATTTATTTCTTACAGTTTTGGAGGGTAGGAACTCCAAGGTTCAGGGAACACGTCTGGTGAGGGCTTCTTCTGGTGGGAACTTTCTACAGGGTCTGTGGTAGCCAGGGTGTCTCATGGTGAGAATGGGCTGAGCAAGAGTGCTAATCTCCTCACATGCTGTCCTTTAAAAGCCATCAGAACCACTCTCCTTACTCCATGAATGGATCAATCAATTCAGGAAGGCCCAGTCCTCACAACCTAATCACCTCTTAAAGGCCCCCCCTTTCAAATACCATGATCAGATTTCCCACCCCCTTAGCACTGTTACAATAGAGGTCAAGGCTTCCAATATATGAACTTTTAGGGCACACATTTAACCCATAGCAGTCCCCTTATATAGATGAGGAAATGGTGGCATAGGAACATAAAGACACTTGCCCAGGGTCACACAGTTTGTTCATCATCCCTTGGGGTTCCTCGTTTATAATCTGTCTTTCCTAGTAGAATAGAAGTTCCATGAAGTCAGGGGACTTCAGTGTCTTGTTCCCTGTTGTAGCCCCAGCATCTGGTACATAGGAGGTGCTTACAAATATTTACAGAATAAGTGAAAGAAAAAATGGTACTTAGAAATACCCATTAAAAATAGTCCGGGCTATTTCCATAAGAAAGCTATGCATTTAAGAAAATGCTGTTTCTGTCCATGTTGGCTGTGTTATGGCAGAATCAGATCTTGTTCTCCCTCTAATTATGATCCTTTTATTCTTTTTTCCCAACATATAGAAATGCTTTCTATTGTATTGCTGTTTAATTATTTTATACTTTCAGTTTAAATTTCTCTTTTATAACTGCTTCCTTTCTATCCTATTTATTGATGCTGCTGTGTTTCATCTCCATGAAGCCAACCTGAGTTCCTGAAATGAAAACCACCTTCCCTCAGCTTGGCTTTCAGCTGAGTGACTCAGGAGCTGGCTCTGACACCCTGGCAGAAGAACTCAAAAGCCAGAAGTTTGGAAGAAACTTTATTTTGGTATCTGAGTGAGAAGGAAATACCTGGTGCAACTCGTCAGCATTCAAGAGGAAAACAGAGAGTAATAATAATAATAAAGGATGGTATCCTGGGTGAAGGTGAGACTGTTTATATGCATATGTCCTACATAAACTTCACTTTGCAGTGTGGGTCGGGATGTTCATTCTCAGTTCCATGGAAGCAGTTCTCTGTTGTTAGTGAACTCTTGTGTTTTGGAGCTGCTTTGGAAGGCAAAGAGTTATTAGGATTCCAAGTTCATGGGTTAATGGAATTTACACATGATCGAACATAATCAGGAAGAGGCTAAAAAATTGTTTGGGAATAAACCAAGTAAAAAAGAGGAAAAGGAAAAATCTCAGTAACTGATGTATTTATTGAAAGGTTTCTTAGCAAGTAGACAGAAGATGTTAATTATGATAATAAAAATGACAGGAGCAACACTACTCTTGTCAGGCACTGGGCTAAACCTTTTGTGCATCATCTCCTTTTTTTCTTACAATAACTATATCATAAGTAGGATTATCTCTATTTCACACATCGGTGGGCTCACATAGCCTCTTGTGATGAAGTTGAGAGTCACACCCAGGTCTGGTTGACTCCAGCACTTTGACACTACATTTGACAGGATCACCTTCTGGTTCATGGGGGGAGGAGAGGAGGTAGGAATAGTGGAATCTCATCCCCAGCATGTCTCCTTTCACCTACTTGATTTGGTGTGTGAAGTTTAATAAGAAGTTGGGCTGGAGCAGAAAATCTTTTTGGAGTTTTAGGATGTCTCCACTGGTTCTGGTTCATGGGGGGAGGAGAGGAGGTAGGAATAGTGGAATCTCATCCCCAGCATGTCTCTTTTCACCTACTTGATTTGGTGTGTGAAGTTTAATAAGAAGTTGGGCTGGAGCAGAAAATCTTTTTGGATTTTTAGGATGTCTCCATTGTCCTTTTTGCCATTTCTTGCCCCTTCCCCCAGTATCCGAGCGAGTAATTTGGTACATTTGGGAGAAGGATCAAGGAGAGAGGGGACTCATTTGCTCCTGATTGAGTTATTTGCAAGGAAGGTCTTACTATCCCATTTTACAGAGAGAACCAAGCAGCAGAGCAGGGATTAATTTGTACAACGTTGCACAGTTTCTAAATGATAAAACCTGCATTTGAGTCCAAATTTTTCTCATTCAAAAGCTTGTTCTTTCCCAGATTAAATAGGGTCCCTTTCCTATGAAGGCTTTCTTCTTCCTGTGCCTGGATACAAGTGGTCAGGGCTCTTTTCCCAGTGGAGGGACAAGGAGGGGAGCCGAGTGCTCACATTGCCCCATATTTTCTTCTCTTTCACCTTCTCAATGATGCCTCATATTCCATCTCTGGTTATTTGTTGAGGGATTGCTTATGGATTTATTGACTGTTATTCTGTTCTTGTGGCCAGGCATCTGTGTTTCCTTATTTTGGGACACAGGTGTGGGCTACAGTGTGGTGTTCTAATACCAACGTCAAGTGTTTGGATCTGTATACTGGCCAAAAATAAAAAAAATAAAAAAAAAGAGGAAAATCACAGGGAGAAAGGGAAGAGTTACCAAGCAAGGAGGACAACTCTTCCCAATGGTCATTGGGGAAAACTCAGCTCGTTACACTGGATGGTCCTGGGAGGGGAGTGGGTGGAGAGGGTGGATGAATTATAGTACTTGGAGTTCAAGAGAGAATTGACAGGGCTGAAAGGAGGGAAGGAAACTGGAGGCCCCAGAAAGGGCTAAATACTCCTCCCCATCACATGCTTATACACAGAACTTCAGAAGGGGTTTCTCTGGGGGGCTGAGGGAGAAGGCTGAACATAAAAGCTGAGCTCCTGGGAGTCCAAGCTTGGCATGGAAGCTGGGGAGCTCCTGCCTTCAGGGACCTCTTGCGCTTGGGTAGCAAACCAAACAGTGACGATGAGCACCTATGAACAGAAGACCAGGGGCACTCCCCCCAACACTGCCAAATGCCTAACATCACAGGGAACTTTGCAGGACTGGAGAGGTGGGAATGAAGAGCCTAGTAAAAACAGTGATGGAATTTCTCACAACCTTGGAGAAAAGGGAACTTGGAGCAGATTAAGAAAATAAATAAATGTGACATTTATTGCTTTCTAGTTTTGTGGATTAAATTTCATATTCACTAAAGATCCATATCTTTGGCTAAGAAAATTTGTTGTCGTTGTTAAATAGACAGATATTCTTGGAAGCAGTTGTACAACCTAATGTCCACGATCGAACACCACAAGAGATGGACAACAAGGAATGCACACAGCTCCCCTTCAACGCCACCTGCCTGGTTTTCAGGTAAATGCTTTCTACATTCTTATAAGAATCCACATTGATGGATTTTGCAGCTCTCTCTTCTTCCCATCCCTGCCTTAAGAACTGGGACCAAAATCCGTTAGCACATAAGAATGAAATCATTTACAAAATTCTTTCCAAGGAAAGAGAAGAAAGAAGCACTTAATTTTGGTGCAAGAAAGAATCAAGTCCTCATCCCTGGCCTTGTTTCAGATGTAGAGGCAGAGGCCATGGCCGAGCCAAGGAATTGTCCAACATCAGCAAGATAGCATGCTCTTCCTGAGCAAAGGGATAAATCCATGCAGAGGGGAGGGAGATAGGAGTTACTTATTTCATCATTCATCCTGGGAGCTGTGCTGCCCAGAGTGAAGGCTGTAAAGAAGCTAAAACCATGTTTCCTGAGACACTTGATAGTCTGTCTCCAACAGAAGAGAGAACTGAGATGGGGCAACTGAGTAGCCTTATCAGGTTTACCAAAGTTAGACTTGCTAGCGACAAAAATCTCATCCCCAATCATGACAACAGTGACTCTTTCCAAGCCTCACTATCAAAAAAGGCATGATGAGTTAGCAAAATTTCATGTTGCAGGAAGGATTCCTCAATGCAATTTCTTCTTTTAAATGGGGAATTTTAAAGAAGAAAGGAGCACTAGCAAGAGCCATTGCAAACAGGCAGGCAGGAAGGGGAATTCTGTTATCTGATTCAGAGCTCCCAAGACAAGAAATAGGTAGCTCTGCAAGAACACATCCAGTGGCATTGAGACTAGAGACAAATTGCATTTTGGTATTTACAACATTGAGTATATCCCAGAAAATCTTATTAGGTTTTGAAGAAAAAACAATTATGATATTGACTTCAGATGGTCTCTTAATAGAAGGGACAGAATTCCTTACTCATCAAGTCCCGGTATTTTTCCAGTTCTCCTGACTTGGAGATTAATATGAAGTAGGTTGTGGGCTTCCCAGTAGAATTACAATAGACTATAGCTCTCTGCTGACTTCCACAGAGTTGTTTGCTTCTTTATGGCAGCTGACATGTAATTGAATGCCAGGATGTATTTCAGTATGAAACAGTCATCTAGAAAAGATTCAGGTGCTGAATTTTGAAGAAATAATGCCCTCAACATGTGACTAAATACTTTAAGAAAGGTAACATTAACTTGCAGCATGTGATTCCAAGCAGAGCAGAGCCCTGGAGTGTTTGCTGGTTTCCTAACCATTCTTAAATTAAGGCTCTGCAATCTGTTACATAAATCTCTATTTTCTTATTTTAGGTTCAGCCAGCATTTTGCTAGTGAATAAATCAGACATCCCAGATGTCATTTCTCCCTGACTAGATATAAATCACAACCAAAAGGCTCGCTAGGTTTGCCAAAATTGCTTCACATGTCAATGAAATCTAACATTACTGCCCTAGGATTCGTCCCCTCTCCCCACCCAAGGAATAAAGAAATCATTCGCCATCAGTAGGGCATCCAAGAACTTTCCAGCCCCACGTGAGCAATGAAACCCTCCCCCTAAGTTTTTGCGGTCTGTAAAGGGCCAGGATGCATCCCTTGCCCAGGGGACGTGGGGCAGCTTCTGATGCTTGTCTCATGAGAGATGTCACAAATGAGCCTTGATCATGAGGACTAACTGCTTCACGGGACTAGAAAAAGAAATGGCGTTTGTCATTACCGAGTCATTTCTTTATCTGCACTATTAGGGAAGGCTACTCTGCTAAGAAATAACCCAAAACCTCAGTGGCTTCATGCAGAGAAGATTTATTTCTTACGACTCCCATCCAATGTGGGTGCTCTGTTGCCCTCAGACATTCACAGGCCTGGGCGGGCTCCATCTAGTGGCTCCACTACCCACTGGCACCTCCCAAGAGAGCCGCACTTGGGCCTCTGCAGGGGGTTGACCCGGAAGAGAAGAGCCAGCGCATGCGCGGGCGCAGGGCCTCTCATGGATGAGGCCTGGGAGGGGCAAGCGTCACTTCCTCTCACTCTCCAGGGCCCAGAAGTCAGTCTCGTGGCCTCTTCTAACTGCCAGGGAGGGGGCAAGTGGAGCTTATTCCTGGGCTCAGAAGAAGAAATGAGTTCGTGAGCATCCGGGCAGCATCACCGCAGAACCCAGACTCCTTCCCTTTCCCTCCGCTTCCTCGCCGACCCTGTCTTCCTTACTGGAGCCTGCTTAGTTCTGGGTGCTTTGGTGAGAGCCCGCCATTTTCTGCCCCTCCCTGAAAGTACCTTAGTGGTCTGGGTACCAGGACTTCCCACTGGGATACCTGGCCCAGGGTTGGACTGGTGGTCTAGAAGGAAGTTCAGACACAGTTCTTTTCAAATGTTTAATCATTAGGAGTTAAAAGTGTAGGTATGGATAAAGTATGGCTGACATGTATATCATCAATGTATTATTTTTCAAAGAAAAGCTGCAAAATTCCTGACGTGGTCTTTCTGGGGATTACATCATAGAAATAAAATATTTCCAAAATGAACTTAGCCAGATATTTTCAGCAGTCACAAATATATGGAGGAAGCAATATCTAATTTAATATTTAGCAAGAGACATAGAGTTTATGATAAACAATAAACAGCATGTTAAGTTCAAATTTTCTACTTTAAAAATAAATGTTCTAATTAGTGAAGGATCTATTTAGACTCTCCATCTTTATCTACCATTGGTGATCAAAAGCACCTGTCTGATGGAGATTCAAATATAGCAAATTAAAAATTTAAATTTTAGAGAGGAAGAAATGTTACCTCATTCATCACTAATCCCTACCTCAGTCACTCATGTTTCAGACACAGGATGGGGGACCAAGAAAGGGGGCAAGAAGGGGGAAGCTAAGAAGTGTTAACTTCCATATGGGTTAAATGCATAACTTTTGTGGTTTTCATTAACATTATTTTATTCAGTAGATTACATAAGACATAAGTACTTTTTAAAAATTGGGCACCTTATCTGTAAAATATATTTGAAGGAGACAGAAGGACTTGAGGAGGGTTAGCACATAAATTAGAGAAACATTGGCTTAAAGCACAGAATAAAATTTCATGCAAATATCGTTCACATATTTCTTTCTGGGACACAGTTTTAATTTTTATTTAAATTTGTTTTAAAAAGGTTTCCCTTATGGATGTACCAGTTAGGTAAGGAGAGAATTGTAATAATTTTTCATTTCTACTTTTCAAGCAGTGATTCATTTTGGTTTATTTGCTTGTGAGACAAAAGCTATTTTCTTGTTGAATTTTATAAATCTTGAATAAATAAGTTCTATCTACCTGTAAGCCCAAACCTACATGGTTGTAATCTTCCTTCCCTCACTGGCTGTTTCATTGCTACAGAGAAATTCTTTCCTCAGCATTACTTTCTCCGTAGAATGTAAGCTTCATTAGGGAAAATTCTTGGCTTATTCACCACTGTATTCCCAGCACCTAAAACAATATCTGACATATACTGAGCTCTCAGTAAATATTTGTTGAAGATTTGGATGGATAAATGGAAGCACGGGGTCTTTAGTGTCTCTCAGGCATAAACAGAAATATTGTACCGTAATGTCCTGGATGTGGACCTGAAGATGAATTAGATAGTTTTGTAAACTACATTGATGCTGTATCAGAAATTTACTCATCCACTCTTTTGTACATTTATAAAGGTATATTGTGCATAAGGCACTAGGCTAGGCATTGAGAACAACAAAGATTTATAAGAGACAGCCCCTGCTAGGAATTTAACTCACTGAAGATTAAAAAGCCTATTTAAATTCAGGTGGTATGAGGACAAACATAAAGCATTTGAACAGCCAGGGGAGAGTATAGCTGTTCTTCAGGGATTCTCTTTTATGAGGTACCTGGGGGGCTTTGCCTTTGTCCTTTTAACAGGTCTTGAAAAGCCAGAGACTCTCACAAGTTTCTGGAACTAGATTGGCACTTCTTTGAGGGCAGACATAATGTCTTTTCCTGTATGTTTTATAAGGGGCAGAACCTTTCTTCTAATTGGAAACTAATAAATCTCTTCACACTAACCAGCTGAAGAGATTCAAAGGGGTAACAGTGATTCCAGTTAGTCTTCCATGGACAGCATGGGTGGAAATGGCTTGCCTCATGAAAACTTAGGGACCCTTAAGATCTTTAGGGAAAGGGATATGTTGCTGAGATGCCTATAGTCTGAAAGTAAGTGTGGATGTTCCCATGGAACTTTTCCTCTGGAGTACATATAAATTCATTTCCCTGGACTTGGGTATAAATAAACTGTGCCTGTTTTGCATTGTGAAACCCACTAAAAAGGAAATTACCTTACAGATAGAAGAGTATTTGGGGAAGACATTTTCCAAGAGGACTGAATTTTAAGAGTGTATCTTGTGTCATCTGAGGAAAGTAGTACCTTCCTTCATTCCTTTAATGTTCCACATGAAATTTGACATGGGGTGCGATAGAAGAGTATTTGGGGAAGACATTTTCCAAGAGGACTGAATTTTAAGAGTGTATCTTGTATCATCTGAGGAAAGTAATACCTTCCTTCATTCCTTTAATGTTCCACATGAAATTTGACATGGGGTGCGAAGTGATAGCTAAGTTTTGTTGAGCTCCCCTCACCAACAGTAAAATGCTAATTAAGTAAGTGTTAGATCCAGGATAGACTAAAGCATGGGATGGAATAAAAGAAGACCCTTGCAATAACATGATGAGAAAAGTATTTTTAACCTGAATTAACACTGTTTGAAAAATGAGGCAAACTGGATTCTGTCAAATCTGGGGCTCTCAAGAGGTGAAATTTTTGTACACGGAAGAACAGATGTGTGCTGACAGATATTGAGGAAAGAGGGAAGATCATTCTGTGGAAAAACAGACATGAATTGGTCGTATAATTCTTTGGAACAATCATAGATGAGTCATGGCAAATTTTACAAAGAATACATTTCATAAAATTTATGGTTTAGCCAAAGTGTCTCAATTTTAAAAAATTGTACTGGTTAGCAAGAAAGAGAGGTGGGTTATGAGAATTCAGTTTTCCTTAAAC